ATCAGCGGGAGAAGAGGTCAGAATAGAGCAGATGTCACAGCCTAGTCATCTGCTCCATTCTGATCTCTTCTCCCGCTGATTGGCCGATTGAATGATTGACAGGCTTCCTCACCAGTCAGGATTTGTGGTCCTCTATAGCTGATGGTATAGTGCGCTGTATAGGTACCATGAGCAATAGAGGAATACAACAAATCCCAGCAATACATTTATATAGCATGTGGGGGGTGCAGGTAGTCTTACCTGCACACTCTTCAAGCAACTTTACTTTCTTCCGAGATCTTGGGACTGTCGGCAGCTTCCATTCCCCCACACTGCTGTCTCCCTGCAACGACGTGATCATCTTGGCGGGCAGCATCTTATCGGGCAGTGGTGGGAGAGAGCTCAGAGCTGGGAGAGGCGGGGAGGAGGTGCGGCGTGTGGTGCAAAGCGTGTGGAGCCGCGAACAGGGGCAACTAATCGAAAGCCGACTAATCGATGATGGAAAACGATGACAACATTTTCCATCATCGATTTTTAATTGACTTAGTCGATTAGTTGTTGCAGCCCCAGTCACATCAGTCCCTGATGGCGGCCCTGCCTGCAGGAGAAGGACGCTAGGCACAAAACAAAAGACAGCCTAGGGGCAGCCTCTGCTGATGGCCAACCCCCCCACCTACTGATCAAGTCTCCAAGTCTTTTTCCTCCATAATATTAGGTGAGGCTCTGCCTCACCTGCCTCCCCTGACCGCACGTCCCTGGTACATTCCCACACACAGAGAGGGCAGGTGCTTTGTCCTTCCATGTGTATCTGCAAGACTACATTGCATAGCTCCAGGCATCTTCTCCCAGATCACATGACAAATGGGGCCCTTCTCCTAAAGCAATAGGCAGCCCTTACACTTGCAGAGAACAGCGCTGTCAGGGATACCGGCACAGGTGACCCCACACCTGCGCAGGTACCCACACAGGCAGACCAAACACTTATGACCACACCGGACAGGGCAGAATGTATTATATACAGAGGTAACAAGAGGTATCTAGGACTGCAAATGAGTAACCGGGCTCGGGACACAAACAGGGTACAGGACTGGTAACAGGACTCTGGACAGAAAGCAGGGTTCACCGGAACTGGGGACTCAGGGTTCAAGTTTCAGGAAACAGGAAACGATACTGAGCCATCATCCTGACTGCAGGGAGGGTTTAAATATCCTCCCAGGAAGCACCAGGTGATGGCTAAGTACTGGCATCTGGGAAACACCCGCAGGTGAGCACTGGAGCTGCAGGTCTCAGCTCCTGCGCCACCTAGAGGCGCTCTGGATCCTAACAAGCGCACATGTATTGTGAGCGCCGTTCTGTTTAGCAGACTGCCAGGCATGCTTACCAATATATAGGTACATAAATTCTTAAACTTTCTCATATGCATCTGCATGATTACATTGCATTGCTTCAGACATCTTCTCCCAGATCACATGACAAGTAGGGTCCCTCTCCTAAAGCAATAGGCAGCCCTTACACTTGCAAAGAAAAGCGTACACGTATTGACCATCTGTTTAGCAGACTTCCCGGAAGTGCAAAGAGTTTGATGATGCTGGGTGTCAATGGAAGATCAGTGGCAGCAGTAGAATCAAGCAAAGCATCTATGGGGGGACAGAGCCGAACAGAAGTTGAGTAAAAGTAGGTGAGTAAAAAGCATTTGTTTTATTTGCAAAATGTACACATGCTGTCTTGTATACATCCAGAAGATGGCAGCAAATACATGATGGTGAATGCAACTTTAGTATGCTATGTATATACAGTATATGAAATGTTCATATCCTGTCCTATTTCAACCAGCAATGAATTATTCTTACACAACTATATAGCAAAATGAACACACTTTTTTACAACAACCCCAGTTACATCCCACCCCAACCAAAATGTCAGAATACATTTTGCAGAATGGTAAACTGTCTTGACTGCTGATACAAATTTTCAGTTTCTTGTGTAACTCTACTCCCCTACTTGTTGTCACAAGTAGCATTGCAGTGTATGTGTCTCTGAGCAGAGAGTTGATTTTAAAGACAATCTCAAACAAAAAGATGATTATTATTTTTATTATTCAGGATTTCTATAGCGCCAACAGTTTGTACAGCGCTTAACAATATAAGGAAGACATTACAGTTACATTACAGTTACAAAACATTCCAAGTGAAGTAAAAATGAATTGTGTTTATGCTATATGCTATGAAGCTGCAGCACTGAGCACAAGTTCTTATAGTGAGGTAGGGTAGGGTAGGGGCTGGGACAATGTCTGCAGAAGAAAAGCCCAGGGAAATCAGGGGTGCTGGATGGAGGAACGTACCTGCAGGTATGTGCAACATAAGTCAAGCGGTTTTCTTTTTGTTCTATTTTACTGTATTCAGTCTTTTGTGAATTCTGTGTTTAAAAAAAATGATAACATTTTAATTCACAACCCCTTGTTAACCCTATTTAATTTTTATTAACCCCTTTATCACCTTTTTTCTTAGCTTTTTTTTTAATTGTTGTTATTATTTCATACGGTTCATATGTAAACATTCACAATTCACAACCCATCCTGTTCATTTGCCTGTGGACTAAAAGGTGTTAATCTTAGGGCTCCAATGTCTGCCCCCTGCATTGGCCTGGCCACTGTATTTGTAAAATTGCAAGCTTCATTCACTTGACAAAACAGACCACACCACCGATAAATCCTTTTTTATTTTTTTCAGATCACCTCTTTTAAATATTCAATTGAAAAATAATGATCTTATACAAATAATAATAATAATACGCATTGACAAAGGATAGGCAACATTTGAAAACATGTTTACAAACCTATAAAAATGAATAATTATTATAAAAATAAAAAGTTACTTTTTTAACAGATGTGTTTTTATTAATTCTATTTAAATTAATGATGTAAGGCATTTGCGAACTGAACCTGATTGCTAAATCTCTTGGCTATCAACTGTTAACATTATTGTTACCCCTAGAAAAAAAAGTGGTACTTTTTTCAATAATTAATGTGCATTATTACTGGCCTCTACCAAGTATTTTTCATAAGAAGGGAGATTTTCTCTTCAAACTAAATACACAGGAAGGATGGAGAAAATAATCCTTCTTTATAAGTATAATACAAAGATGGCCAATTACCAAATAACAACCAATTAGCAATTAATTGTAGTTTCCTTTAACTTTTAAAAGCTAAAAATAATAATTGTCTGTCATATATTTCTGCAAAGTCAAGTCATGTATAAACAACAGGTCTTGCTTACCCTTCCTGGACCCCTAGGCCAATTTATTTGTGCCACCCTCTCCACAAAATCAAAGGGCTAGCCTCAACATCACAATGTCAGATGCCAAAATTATGCAAGAAACACTGAATCTGGGGTAGAGAGAGACTTCTTGCCCACTCTGTGTCAATAAAACAACAACAAATGGTTAGAAGAGTAAGGCAAGCTGCTATCCTACTCTTTTAAATATTGATTCTAGGTATACTGGCACCGAGTGGGTGACTTATAAGTACACAGTACACAACTTCAATAGAAAAAAAGACTGCAAAAATGGCTCAGTCAGATTGGAACAGCCAAGTGTGCATGTTTTAGCCTGTGTTTACAGCCCTAGAAAAATCCCACCTAGTTTATTCAACATTGTTGGCTGGAGGGTGTCCTATAGACATTTTTTTCCCATGAGGTGAACATGCATGATTGCCACAGCCAAGTGTACTAGTTTTTGCTGTAGACCTCTCAGGGAACTATAGTAGTTAGGGATATTCAGATACCAGTTCAGATACCAGTGCTGATACTTGGCATGTTTATGAGAACTACCACAGTTGTAACGTTTGCAGCTGGGACAGGACCTTGGTGCTTGTATTGTTTTAGAAAAACTGTCACATGACACTAAACAAAAATGAATATGTAATTGTATCTGTGAGTATTTGGACAAGTATCAGTACTTGGTCTGGAAAAAAATAGTATTGGTGCATCCCTCATTATATATAACAAATCATCTATTAAAACAGGGCTGCACAAATCCCAGGAGCCCTGTATGATCCTTACAAATGACAGCTGCCTCCTAACTTTTGAGTTTTTCTCTAGCCTAGTCTTACAGCTGGAAAAGTGTCTGTACTAGTACCAAGTACGGTACTTGGTATCTGAATATTGCTAATAGTGTTAACCAGGAAAATCCCAGCCAGTTGATACTTCTGCTAAATAAATTGGCCTGGGGGTGTTTGAATAAGTTGTGAGTAGCCTATGGACATAATTTTTCAGACACTGCTGTTAATATCCAAATCAAGCGATGACCACCATGTGTTGATGGGTACTGTAACAATGGTTTATCAGGTGTCCAGGGTGTTAATTAGGTTGTTTATCTCTTCTTCACCATGAGTCCAGTGCATTGAATGCCTTTTAATATCACAGTTAAGAGGGGTTGAATAATTACTAGAATAATCGATTTGACTCAGTGACTACCTGCCTGTAATACATGGGAAACAACAAATGCTCTTTTTGTAGTATCGTGGTATAGCAAAAAAGAGAAAATCTAAGCAACTGAGTGCAGTTATGCTCAAACAAATCTCATTGTAATAGAAGCATTGCTCTGCATGCTGCATATAATAAATTCTGAAGAAATGGAAAGGGAAGAAACATGTTATCATCACCAAAATAAGGAAGAGACTTTTTATCTGGACCCAGATTTCCTGATGTGCCAAAATAGGACTCTGAATTTTCCTCAGAACTTTTACAATTATGAAGATCTGTACAGCGAGGAGAAGACACCCCACTAATATTATGACTGTGATAAGGATGTAGTTCATGACCATCACTGCCGAATTTTTAAGTTCAGTTTGAAATTGAAAACACTCTGATCCGTTAACAGGGGCATTGCTGCCATACTGTGTGAACACCAGTGGTAAAATGATAACACATATTACAAGCCATACAACACCACTAATTAGAAGAGGATGAAGAGTCCTGTAGAATACAATGCTATCTTTTTGCTTAAAGAAAGCAACATGTCTCATAGTCAACATGATCACATAAAATACAAAAGTAATATATATATGAATGTGGATCATGGCACTCACTACTCTACAAAACATAGGTCCATATAGCCATTTGTTTTGAAAGTAGTATATAATGCGGAATGGCACACTTAAAATAAAGATAGCATGAGCTACCAGCAGGTTGATTACTGATGTACTTGTTACAGACAGTCTGTTTGCACCTGCTATCATAAAGATCATGAAGGCTATTCCAGATGTTCCTCCAATACAGGTGACAAAGTATATTGTAATCAGCAAGTTGTTTGCTGTGTTCGTCTGGATAAAGCAAGATGTTTGGTTATGTTCTTCCTCCATATCGTGGTGTAGATTAACCTGAGTAAAATAAACATTAAAAGAATAAATGTCCAAAGGATAATGGGCCTCTTTCACTTCTATTTGGAAGGAAAACTTAATTTCCCTTTTGTGTTTGTCAATAGTAACTTGCTCAACTCTCCATCCCTTCAGCTTTTCTTGCTAGAGTGCTAAGTAACAGTTTGTTAATATCCGTATTAATATATTGTCAGTATAAAACAGATAGTGGCATTGAAATTCACAATTAAGTTGTCCATAAACATTACTAGTAGGGATGAGCTCGATATTCGAGTCGAGCAAGAGTTTGACTCGAACATCGGTGAACACACAATGAACTATCCGGGCGTTCGGTGAGCTATTTGCCCGCCTAGCACCCCACGAGGCACTGCACACCGCAGAGTGCCTTGTGAGCCCTGATGGCTAAAGCCTTGCACCAGACCATAGGTCAGGTGCAAGACTTTGCCCAGTCAGGGCACAGTACTCTGTAAGAGCCATGATTGGGCAAAGTAATGATGGCTTTGCCCAATCATGGTTTACCTGGCAGATGCCGTACAACTGTAAACAGTTGGGTGGACCTAGCTAGCTGTTACCGCTAGCCCCTGCCCAATCATTTATATTTTGCCAGCATCTGTCAGAATGCCATTCTGCGGTGGGAGTTCGTCGCGAGTGGACGGGTTGGCTGTTGTTGTTTTTTTAATTATTATTTCTATTTATTTTTTCTTGTTTTATTTTTTCACTTGTCGAGTCGTTGTTGTGGACAATGCTGGACGTCGTGATTGACCATGGAAAGGTATCCCCCCAGTGCCGAGGGTATGCGGCCACCCCCCCCTTTCCTGCCCTGCCAGGCCTGTGCTCAGATCATGGGTCTGGTTGGGAATTTTAGGGTGGACCCCACGTCTTTTTTTCCCCGATTTTTCAGGGTGGGGTTCCTTCTTAAAATTCCTACCAGACCTAAAGGGCCCAACACACTTTTTTTTTTTAATTGTAACTTGGGTCAATCCTAAAATTTCTACCAGACCTAAAGGGTCTTTTATGATTTTGGGGGGGAACCCCACACTTTTTTTTTTTAAATGGGGTCCCTTCTACCTTTTCTACGAGACCAAAAGGGTCTGGTATTGTTTGGGAGGGGGAACTGCACGCTTTTTTTATAAATGTTATTTTTGCTACAGAAGGTTCTATATATCGTACAGATCCGCCACTTTACGGCAGTTTAAGGGGACCTCTCCACAGACACGTTATTTAAAGGAATTTTTCATTTTTATTGTTTCACTTTAAGTGATGTTTAAACCACTGCTCCTTTAAAAACTGTATTTTTTAAAGTGTTTTTTCATTGATACTCGTCCCCCAGGGCAGTACCCGGATCCCCATACACTTTTTATGGCCAATAACTTGCATATAAGCCTTCAAAAAGGGGACAATTCATTTTGAATTCAAACTTTTTCCATGTTCTAAAGTTTGAATTCGAATTGAAATTGGGTCTGTTCGGCCCATCACTAATTACTAGCAGTTTCTTGACAATATCTAAGTAACAGTTTGTTATTATCACTATTAATATATTGTCAGTATAAAACAGATAGTGGCATAGAAATTCACAATTGTCCATAGACATTACCAGTAGGGATGGGCTTGATGTTCGAGTCGAGCAAGAGTTCGACTCGAACATCGGCAGTTTTCACGTGGGGTCACTGCTTAGTCAAATTCATTATAAAAATAAACTGTGTTTGTGCATTACCATTTATTTTGAAAGCCACCCCATTTATTTTGAAAACACCCCGTTGTTTTTGTACATAAATGGCAAAAACAACAGTGAATTCTGTGTGCACCATGGTGCACTGCATTGGCCCAAAGTAATGCAGATGCATTAAGGCTGAATTCAGTAGATCAGAGTTCTGCACTGCGGTCTGCTGGCACTCACAGATTTAACACCTTGAGAAAATTAGCACTGTGTAGGAGGAGCCCTTTTGAGAAAGAAAATGAGAATTCTAAGTGCTGGTTATCACATGCATAGATTTTCCAACAGGGCTGGAATATCCAGTATCTGCAACCAATCACCAGTCATACAATTTTCTTCACAGAGGAATGAATAATCTTTAATAGTACATTGGGGAGAATATTTGCTTCGGGTTCCCTGACTCAAAAGATCTTTCATCTTGTTTTATTATCAGTTAGAGAAATCCTTATGTATGACCAGTTTAAACTGCCTAGTCAATATGATTAATGCATTTGAAAGCAGTAACATTTTAAAACTTACGTAAAGCCAGAGATTCTTTCATATAATGTGGAGTAATAATACCTTCCTTTAAAAAAAGGAAGACTAAGAAGACGAAAGTAACCAAATGTTGTCAACTCTTTGTAGGTCTTGCTTTTTTGCACCTCTGCAAGAAAGAATTTTATGGCACATAGCTTTTAAGACAGATAGTATAAGATCAAAGGCATAGTACATCTGCCAGCATATAAAAGCTAACTCTGTTCCTGATCAGCATGCTTGTGAATCAGGGCTGTCCAGGAAGATGTGTAATCTGTCAATGTCTGATCACTGATCTCTACCAGTTCAATAAAACAAAATGTCTTATTGAAGGAGTATATTCACTGCAATTTTAAAGTGGATTTCTTTTCATATTGTATGTTTGTGCCAAAATTGTAATTTGTAAGATTATTTGGCATAGATTGTTTTAACCCCTTGCATTGGTAAAAAAAACGGGTGGACGGCGGATGCTTCTCGGCGGGTGGACATACCTGTATAACTATTATTATACAGGATTTATATATATATATGGATCTATATATATATAGATATATATATAGATCTATATATATATCTATATATATAGATCTATATATATATATATATAATATATATAGCGCCAACAGTTTGCGCAGCACTTTACAATATAAGTAAGACATTACAATCACAATACAAATCAAGACAAGATGGTAAGGAGGGGGTGTACGTGATTCTTTCTTCTGCCGGCGCACACAAGCAGAATCCCGCGGGGAATGTAAACAGCATTTACCGTTGTAATGTTCTGGACTACAAATCCCAGAGACGTCAAGCTTATCTCAAGGATGAGCCCAGCTGTAAAGCTTGGCAAAACTTTAATTTCTATTTGTTGTCTGTTCTTGCAGTAAACTTCAAGGAAACTGACCCAGTAGCATTAAAAGTACTTTACTTGGCGAAAATGCTGCATGTACAAACTTAGTTACAGGAAAAGCAAACACGGCTAGGCGTGACTTTTTACGATCACCATCCCATTGTGATACAAATCAATACAGGACAAGCTACACCATTGTGTAAAACCAGTTTGGCCTGTATTATTGGCCATTTCCATTGTATGAACCAAGTTTCTATCAACAAACAAACAAAACCTCCGTTTCTATTGCAAATCTATGTGTGTCTGAAAAAGTCCACTAAGATATATCGCAACACAACCGTCTGTTACATATAAGCGTTCGGCCGGCTCTTTTAAAAAAAATTAAAGTCTCATTAAAAAAAAAAGAAAAAACACCAAAAAAAGCTTTAAGCCACTGCCCAACGTGCACACACTTATAAACGTGAATATGCATCGGGTGTGCCTACGTGCGAAAACAACAATTATGCCACACATGTTACATATCCCCGCCAACGTTGGAGTGCGAGCAATAATTCTAGGGCCATTAATCACTGATAACATTTTTGGGTATGGTATTTTTTTGCGATTTCGCAATTTATGCACTTTTAAAGCTTGGCATGTTTGGTGTCTATTTACCTGACGTGGCCCCATCTTTAATATTGTACCAAAAAATGGGGTCATAAAAAATGTTTTATAACATAAAGTAGGGAAAACAGGGTTTTTTTCCCCCCAAATTTTTGGTTCTTTTTTTATTGTATAGTAAAAATTAAAAACCCCAGTGGTGATTAAATAGCACCAAAAGAAATCTCTTTGTCCCAAAAACATGGTATAAAATTCATTTCAGTACAGCGTTGCATGAGTGAATAAGTGTCAGTCAAAGTACCGCAGCGTTGAATACTGAAAAATGTCCTGGACAGGAAGGGGGTTTAACACCTGGTCAGAAGTGGTTAGGTATAAGATATTTATGCCATGTAGTTAAGATTACTGCCAAGACTGTATAAATGCTTTAAGTAATTTTCAACGTAACATTCACCATGAAAGTAATAATGGCCAGGCTGATAGTTATGGGTTGGTGTAATGCATTTCATTGTGATTTTACTTTGTTCACCAAAAAATGTTTTGGTTGATGGTTATTTATTATGTTTAATAATATCGTTAGGGGTTAAGTTGTCAGTTAAAAGGAAACTATGAGAGTAGAAATATGGGACTGCTATTTCTGACTTTCTAAAGTTCCTAAAGCTGCATGTTCAAGGGCATGATCCTGGCTTCATATTGAGTTCCTGACTTGGCACAAGAATGGAAGAGACAGAACTCAAAACATCATATATAGAATAAGCGAACAAGCCAGGTACATATTGGTGATGATTTTATACTCACATGCAAGGTATCAATGCACAATATTTTCAAACTAAACATTTTCTTGCCACACTCCTGTGTTCAGGACACAGAGGCACCAATCTGAAGAAGATAAAATGTAATGTGATAAGTGCCATGTAAAAATACATTCATAGAAGGACAATATCTGCATGGTGCTTGCATGTTTTCCCTGTGCTCAAGTGGGTATGCAGATCCCTGGTGAACTGATCTGCCATCCCATAGTCACATACTATGTTGTTTTGTAGACATTTGCCGGTACAGAGCGAAACACGGGTGCTGCCATTGCTCATCTCCTTCTAAGTACACTCTTTGCCTTACTGTGTCTGGCGTCAATACTTTCCAAGTTACTGACCTGGAACACACATGCATATTCCCTGCAAATTCTCTTTAAAAATACACTTTCTGACATGTAAGTGTGCCTAGGTACTCCTGCTCTGTAGACCCATGGCTATATAATGTATCTGCAGTCTGAGAAATTAGGCAATTAGGAAATTAGGAGGGAGCTGCTGTCACAGCAGCATGGCCGAG